GGATTCACCAGACACAGAGTGGGGAGCAGAACAGGCAGAGTAACAAAGTTCACTGCTGAGGGGAGCAGTGGGCAGGTCAGAAGAGGTCTGCTGTGCCATGTGGGTCAGCTCCCTGGCTGGGGATCGAACTCATGCTGCAGTGGCTTCATAGAGCTTCATACTGCAGTGCTTTAACCTGTTGCATCACCAGGGAGAGCCTGGAAGTGACAATTTATAAATGATGCATACATACACACACACGCCTGCACACACACACATAATTATGATACAGTAACAGGAATTTTCAGTTAGTCTTCCCCAGATTTCTGTGGTGTTAAATTGTGGTTCATAGAGATATTGCCTTCCTTTCCTGTGTCTTTCACGGACATCTACTTTTCACTCATCTGATGAACCAGAATCACTGTCCGCTTTTAAGAATTATGTTTTTTTGGTGAAATATGCTGACTGCTTGAGGCTCTAGAAGGCACATGATGGCATTAAGAATGCTTTCTTCCTCATTTAAAATATGCAGGCCTGTTTCATGTTTTACGATTTGGAGTTATGATACCTTCTGTCCTTCAGTCTATATAGTGAGGTCAAAAATGCTTACTGGCTATTTATTGGGTGTGCAAGGAAATTTTGTTTGTTGTCTATTATATAAAATGGTCCTCGTAAGACTGCTGTCTTTTAGTAAAATGTTAGGTAGAGGGGAAAAAAACCTCAGTAATAAACAGGTTGTAGCCTCTTTGGGCTTAAAGTGGCTTCTTTCAGGTACTGTAGTGATTCAGGTTTCCTCACTTTCCACTGAGGTGTATGTGGTGGGTCTTTAGGAATGTATTCAGATTGGCCTCATAACTATGTAACTGGGGAGGACAGCTCTATTCTTTGCAGAGCATTGCTGCGAGGACCTGGTAATGATTCATTCTGCTGTGTCACCTTGCCAGGGATCCTACATTGCTTGGTGTTGAAGAGGCCTGTGCTCGCCTTTGTCTTATTACTATTAGTCTACAGCCATGAAGTCCCCTCCACCTTATGAGTTTTATTCTGACCAACGCCTTCGCTAGTTATTTCTAGCACAGGTAGACGCTTCTAGAGTCTTATCATGATGTAATCGAATCATCTGTCTACCTTTTTCCTCCATCCAAACTATGCTGTTGTTCCCACACCATGTTAAGGATTGCTGACTCATATGGTAGACCTATTTTTAATATCGTAAGAAACTTCCATACTGTTTTCCGTCAGGGTTAGACCCATCTACAATATAGCCCCACCGTTGAGTTGACTTTTTTAATACGTGTTTTAGGTCTTTAATTTCTCATACAAGTACTGCTTCCGATTTTTAAAAAGGGAAGATGCTCCACCTCATTTCCTTTTGTTAACTTTTCTTTAGCAACTTGATTTAGATGTAATTCACTTGCACTAAATTCTCTCCATTCAAGTATATTACCCATGGCTTGTTGTGAATTCAGAGATGTGCAACCAGCCTACAATTCATTTCAGATCATTTTAACCATGTCAAAGAAGAAAGGCATCCTCCACAATTGTCACCCCTCAACTCTTCCATCCACTGATTCTCACCCCGTACTGCGCCCCTCCCCCCATTCTCCAGCCAAAGACAATTACTTGCTCTGCTTTCTGTCTGTATTGAATTTTTTTATTCAAGAAATTTCATATAAATTTGCATGACTAGCTTCTTTTACTTAGCCTCCTCTTCTCAAGATTCATTTATGTTGTAACATATTACCAGTATTTCACTGTGTTTCACTCACAAATTACACTCTGTTATAAGGGTATAACATATTTTGTTTTAAACATTCATAAAAGTGGTTTGTTGCAGGCTTGGTTCCTCCTCTAACATGATTGAGTAGATCAGTTCTTTTCTCATTCTCCCCTCATATGTCCTGCCAGCCTGTTGATTTAAAATTAATACCAGATACACATTTTAAATGGTCCTAAGTCCAGATCTTTCTTTACAGCCTCTTTCACAACAAAACAAAAGTTTTATAATTGATTTTTGTGCTTTTACTTCTTTTTTTTTTTTAAGATTTATTTATTTATTCGTACAGAACTGGGGTACAGGCCAGAAATGCGGAGGGTGAGAGGATTCACCAGAGACAGAGTAGGGTGCAGAACAGGCAGATTGACGAAATACACTGCTGAAGGGAGCAGCGGGCAGGTCAGGAGAGGTCTGCCGCGCCATGTGGGTCTCCTCTGGGGCAGGCGGGGATCGAACTCATGCGGAACAGATTTAAGCCTCTTTGTGCTGTGCTTTAACCCGCTGTGCCACCAAGGAGGGCCGTGCTTTTACTTCTTTAAGATTTTTTTTTTATGCATACAGAACTGGGGTACATGTCAGAGGTGTGGGGGGTGAGAGGATTCACCAGAGACAGAGTGGAGAGCAGAACAGAACAGGCAGATCAAGGAAGTACACTGCTGAGGGGAGCAGCGGGTGGGTCAGGAGAGGTCTGCTGCACCATGCGGGTCAGCTCCCTGGCTGGGGATCGAACTCGTGCTGCAGTGGCTGAGATAGCGTAGTGTTGCGCTTTAATCTGTTGTACCCAATTCTTGTGCTTTTTTTTTTTTTTTTTAAGATTTATTTATTCATATAGAACTGGGGTACAGGCCAGAGATGCGGAGGGTGAGAGGATTCACCAGAGACAGATTGGGGAGCAGAACAGGCAGATCGACGAAGTCCACTGCTGAGGGGAGCAGCGGGCAGTCAGGAGAGGTCTGCCGCTCCATGTGGTCACCTCCCCGGCAGGCGGGGATCGAACTCATGTGGAAGTGGCTTTAGCTTCTTAGTGCTGTGCTTTATAACCTGCTGCGCCACCAGGGAGGGCCTCTTGTGCTTTTTTAATTAGCATTTTAGATTTAGAACCCATTTCAAAGTAAGTGCTTTTAGTTTCAAAAGGTATTTTTAGTATTTAATATTAGAAAAGCCTACCTAATGTGATCTTCCTTTCAAAATCTTTTCCTACATGAAGAGGTATTTAACTTGGGTGGTGGGTGATTTTTTTTTTAAATAATAGTTTATTTTTACATCATTTTGTACATTTTTTTTTCATCTCAATTGTAATCCCTGTGGGTTTCCCATCACCGAGTCACCCATGTGCCATCACCATAGTCCCGTGCACAACCCTTCCCCCACCCCCACCCCCGTTTTTGATCCCATTCCCCACTCCACCCCACAAAATGTCTCTGATTTATGGCTGTTCATTATTCTTATTATTTTCTCGCCTGGTCCATTATACTCTTGCTATGAGTGAAACTATCTGGTATTTTTCTTTCTCTTTCTGGCTTATCTCATTAAGCATGATCTTTTCCAGCTCCATCCAAGTTGCTGCAAAAGACATGTGTTTCTCTTTTTTGGTTGCCTGGTAATATTCCATTGTGTATATGTACCACATCTTTTTAATCCAGTCATCTACTTTTGGGCATTTGGCTGCTTCCATGTGTTCCCAATTTTAAATAAAGCAGCAATAAACTTGGGGGTGCAGGTGTCTTTTTGAATCAGCGTTTTTGTGTCTTTTGGGTAGATACCTAGGAGTGGGATTGCTGGGTCGTGGGGAAGCTCCATGTTAAGCAGTTTGAGGAACCTCCAGTTTTCCATAGTGGTTGTACTAGTTTGCATTCCCAGGGTGGTGGGTGATTTTTGAAGATATTGATGCTTTATTTAGTTAAAGCCACAGCCTTTCTGCTCCTCACATCTTTAAAGACTCATTTAGGGGTAGTAAAACTCCTAGAGGAGAGGGAGGATATAGTCAGGGCCTCCCTGACAGGATTCCTGGTGGATTCAGGTGTTCCCCTCATGCACTTTACAGCATCCACCCACACTGCCTCTTCTTTGCTGTGGTTTGCAAAGTGCAGTTTGGAGAGTTTAAATACTGCAGCACAGTAAACACTCTAACTTAATGTAACAGCAGTGCCAACTGAGACCCAAGTCAGTGTGCCGCCAAAGCCGCTGTGTTTTTTCTTCCCAGTTACTGAATGATACTGCAGCCCCCTGAACCCAGAAAGCAAGCGAGTGCGTGATACATGTCCCGCTGGTATTTCCAAGCCAATAGCATTTCTGTTTTTACACGTTGGGACCACACCATAGGGGCTTATAGAGACACAGCCGTCCATTGAGGCATACCCATCTGTATGTCTTTTATAGTGAGTGCTTCATAACAGACTTAACAGGGCAGGAATTTTTAGGGATCATATATCTTGGTTTCTACTACTGGTAGAACTTCAACAAACTTAACTGTATCTTTGCTAAGTTATTTACTGTAGACTGAAAATAATGTAACTTTTCCTTCCTATTAAAAAGTCAGAGAATCTGAGTAAAAAAGAAGAAATAACTAAAGTACTCTTCCTTTTGAATTTGCTTGGATTTAGTTTGTTTCAATAACTTACTTGGGAGTAAAACAGTAGTTTTGTTTTAAAGATTATGGGTTTTATTTATTTATTTTTTAGGTGCCTTCATGAATGAGGACTTGATATTAGTCAATTATGGCTGACAAAAATATGACAGAACTTTACGAAGTTCAGATGGACTTTGAATATTCAACTCTAAAGAATGGTGCCTAATTAGAGCTTCTGTTTAATTAAGATAACAATGCATAGTCCTTCATTAAAATTAACAGGAAAAGTTCCTTCTTGGTCCTTGGAGAGGATATTATATGCAAGCCCTGTTGTGTGGGTTGCAAAGTGTCACTGGAATTTATATGCATTACTTGTCTAATTGCAGTAAATGTAGCATGTCCAGGTAGGTTTAGCAGTAGAGGCTGCTGGTTACTTACCGGGAATCACTTGAAACCTCATACCCAGAGGCAGCTGTGCCCGGGCCCTTCACCTCTCCCCAGAGATGGTGGGCAGCCTCTCGCTGGACCCTGTCTTTCATGGTGGGAGCAGTAAACATGACAGGTTGTTTGGGAGCCATCTGTTTAAAATGGCTGCTGCTTTGTATGCAGCAATGAACTTGAGATCAGTTTTCTGTCTTTCTTCGTGGTAACAGTCTGATTTCGGTGTCACAACAGGTGGAAGTTGATGGGTCGAAACTCAATGTGACCAGCACGTGGAACCTGGCTTCACCCTTACTGTCTGTCAGCGTGGACGGCATGCAGAGGACAGTTCAGGTGAGTGTTCTGGTGGCTGGCACAGAGGGCGCAGAGGGTTCTGCCAAGTCCCGAATCCTTCCGCAGCCCCTGTGGTCAAGGCCTGCAAGAGTAGGGAGAAGCTGCGTTTTTCCATCTTGGATATTTTATACTTGGAAACCTTTCTTCTTTTAGGAGGTCTTAGTCCTACTCTGAGGAATCAATGTTTCCTTTCTCCAGCCAGTCAGGACGGTTAGTGGCTTACGTTTTGTTGTACATAAGGCACCCTGCATGGTTAGAAGACAAGTGTGTCTTCCTTGCCACTGTGGGCTTGGGTTACAGCATGGAGCTTGTTCCTAGCAGTGGGATGGTGTCGGGCAGCTCAGCCGGAGCAGGGACTGTCCCGCTTAACTCTCCATGGCAAACCGATGACTTTGAAAAGTTGCATCATCTTAACCTTTCTGTCCCTCAGTGTAAAGTGTCATGCATTTGAAGTGATGTTTTGAAAGCCAGTTGATCTGCTGTCCTTTGTAAGCACTGAGCTCCATTTTGAAGTAGAAAGTGCTGGAAACAAGGCCCTGTCGGCACTCCTCCGCTCAGCTGCTGGCTGAGGTTTAGGGGCCGGGAAAAGCAAACTAGTCGCCATGAAGTGTGTGGCGGCCTGTGCAAAGAAAAATCGTAACTCGTAACCCCCCTAGCGCTAAGTGCTCATTCTTTTATCTTTTTTCTTTTTTTATGAAAATGTCTCTGTGTTCCCTTAACTTGATGTGACATAAGAAACTGATTTTTAAAACTCTGAGTAGCCAGGAGACTCACAGGGACTAGCCTTGGCCAGATTCATCTACACTATATCACTGTGGGGCTGAACACTCCAGAAATCCTCCAGGAAATACTTGATGACTGAATCACATTCCAGGCTGTGATTCCTGTGGGTCTAAGAATATTAAACTCTCAGCCACGAGCTTGGGTTTCGTCTTTGGTGTGGTGACTTGTCTCAGTGTAGGTTTCTCTCATACTCTCATTTTGAGGTAAAACACTTTGAGACCCCTGGGTATGGAGGAATCACAGCGTCATTTCTCATCACTCAGAGCCATTTACTGTGTCTCTAAAAACATGGTCTTGCTACACTTGCCTGTGCCCAGTGGGGTGTCCTCCACACTGCTGTGGCCCGGGCACTCGAGGGCTTATCCAGAGGACGAAGAATGCATGGCGGGGTCGGGCAGGAAGTCCACTCTCCCGACTGGGTCATGGTCTAAGAGTCCTTGTCGACAGGTGGCCTGTTGGCACTTGAACCTGTAGACTTTGTAGCTAAATCAACTGTGGATGTATATATAGATTTTAAATAATGCAAGTTTATTTTTACATCATTTTGCGCCTTTTTCCATCTTAGTTGTAATCCCCGTGGGCTTCCCATCACCAAATCACCGGGGTGCCATCACCATAGTCCAGTGCATTTCCCTCGTTCCACTGTTTTTGATCCCATTTCCCACTCTGCCCCCATAAAATGTCTCTGGTATATAGTTGTTTATTATTATTATTATTACTTCTCCTCTCCCCCTATACCCCCCTCCCCACCCTGGGTCCTTTATGTTCCTGCTATGAGTGAAGCCATCGGTATTTTTCCTTTTCTTTCTGGCTTATCTCACGAAGCACAATCCCTTCCAGCTCCATCCGTGTTGCTGCAAAAGGCATGTGTTATTTTTTTGTTTTGTTTTGTTTTGTTTGCTGAGTAATATTCCATTGTATATATGTACCACATCTTTTTAATCCAGTCATCCACTTTTGGGCATTTGCGTTGATTCCGTGTCTTTCCAACTGTGAATAAAGCAGCAGTAAACATGGGGGAACTGGATATATTTTTAGAGTGCTCCCAGAAATATTTCCTTTTCATAGGGTATTCAGTAAATTCCTTTAACCTTGTAAATTAATTCTAAAAACGGGCATGGAAGTGAAATAAAGGAATCCTGCAGGCAGACCCCTTGAGTGTTTGGAGGCGGTCTTTGCTTCCAGTTAAGAGCGCTCTCGCTGAAAAAGACTTTTGAGAGGTAAATGATACACTGGGGCAAAACGATCATGTACCTAAAAGGAGAGGAAAATTTCCCCTTACCAGAACCGTTGAATTACTTTCTGCTGGCATTAACAGCCAGTGTTGACTGTTCATCCCCAAAATATAATGTCCTAGGAATTCAGTAACGTAAGACTAAGTAACTGAGTGCTTATAGCAGGCAGTTCTAAGCAAGGTACATAGCGACTGATTTTGTCTTCACAGCAGCAGCGTGAAGGATGTGGCATTTTTCATACTTTGTCATGTGGCAACTCACAGGCTGAGAGGAAAGGAAATGCCTTGCTCAAAGTCGTACAGCTCATGGTGGGTGGAGCCCAGATTTAAGCCCTGTGCCGCTGGAGGGTCTGTGCTGGGAGCATCCCCTCCGCTGAGCAAGCCAAGCAGTGTCCAGTGATGGCAGCGCGAAGAGCTGGCCGCCGGCGTGTGTGTCTCGCGGCCACCTCATTCATGCTGTAGGCCAGCGGCCCTGAAACTTGGTAGCGCGCTTCAGTGAACTGGGAGGCCCGTTCAACGCAGGTTGCTGGGCCCACCCCCGGGGCCGACTGTTTGAGAACAACTGCTGTCCACCTCTGCAGTCACAGACGAGGCTGAGAGGATGACAAAGCCCGCAGTGGAAACCAAGACCTCACTGCCTTGTTAGTTACTTCTGTGGGCTGAGGATTTGGAGAGCTGCTTTATGGAGCGTGAATTGCCGGGAAATGAGACCGGAGGCAAAGTTGGGTCCGCAAGGAACAAGGGGGCAGCATTTCCTGATGCTGTCCGCAGTGTGAGGAAGAAGAGGGATGGGTGACGGAGGAATTGGAAGAACGATGGGGAAGCAAACCGCTGCTCTAAAGTGTTCTTGCTAATGTCTCTGCTGCCTGCCGTTAGCCGGGCGAATCTTCTGTGTTAAACAACCTTGCGTTTGTATTTTAGAAATGGATTTGCCTTAGTCTCTCCCTTCACTTTAAGGTTCATATTTTATTCTGAGCTTTCCTCAAGTTAAGCTGTGTGGATACTATAACCTTCTTAGCCCTTGTGCCAGCCCACTTTAGTTCCTGCCGGTACTTGCAAATTGCGTCACGTTGCCAGTTGACCTTTGTGGCGATAGGACCATCACAGTCTCCTGAGAAAGGAGCAAAGCTCCGGAGGGCCTTCCCTACCAGTGTCTTGCTC